AGCTTGCAATGCAAATGCCAGAGGGTTCTACCATGCATTCTGTACACTCAACATGTTCCCCCATATTATGAGATCATGTGATTCTTTCCCATTTTCCACAGTGGCCGATAACACAGCAGAGAATCCCCTAGTTCACCGCAATATGGAAAATAGGGCTCTGCAGCTGCTTGTCAGTTTCAAAAAAAGTCTGGTCAGTTTCAACATCAGGTTTCTCCCCCTTTGTCTACATGTCTTTCTTTTCCCTTTCATTCAACCAACTAACCCTAAAATGCAAGCACAAAACCTGAACCAGGGGGATTGAAATGGAAGGCGCTTGCTGGACACTACTGTGCAGCTGTGATCGGACAATTGCGTGATTTAAAAAGAAAACAACTTTGTATGCTAAGCTCCACACATCACAAGTGACGTTCCACCTTGATTTAGAAAAGTTCGTTTAAAAAATTGTACCTGCAGAATAAGTACACTGGTGGGAAAAGAATGCTGCGTAAGGCGGGCATAGAATCTGAAATCAAGATTAAAGGCTTACTGCGCTGAAAACCTACAGTAAGATGTACATGCATATTGGGTCATGGCCTTGGACCCTCATATCTGCAAGGCTACCTGTCTACCTATGTACTGCCATGACAAATTAATCACTTGAGCAGGGTCTTCTGCAAGTGCCACCCTGCAAATGAGCAATCAGAATGCTACCCTGATGCAACAATTGCCCATACATACACATTCTGTCTTGGGGCCCACACCTTATAGAATGGCCTGCCTGATGAAGTCAGGAAGCTTCCACTCTCCTGACATTTTTCAAACTATACAAAATTGAAAGCATTTTTACAAAGATAACACGGCTTTATTATAATGGAACAATTAAAAAAGAATGCTTTCATGAAAGGGAAAAGAATGTGGATCATAGTACTGTGTATAGTATGTACAATCTGTTGCTGTGTGCATTATCCAGTTAGGTAATTTCTGCATTCTTTAATATGCCACATTCCTTCTTAAACTGTTTCCGTTTGACTGCATTGACTCATCACCTTGAATCTCAGTGCGGAAGGTGGACTATTAATAATGCCAACAAATTAATAATACTACATATAAGTATTTCTGCATAAACAGAGTTGCTTTCTTACCTCAAGTGTTGCTTTTATGCCTTGATTTATTACTTTTATCTTGGCAGGGTTGCTGTGTACCTGGTGGGCAGTAGTGGATTAGAGGCTACAAAGCCATTGACCTAGCTAAATCAGAATGCTACCCTGATGCATTCATTTTAAAACATGTGATATTTTGTTGCATTTGTTGACACTGGAATAAATATTTTTCTCATTATTTAAGGGTTTGTGTGTGTGCTTTTTGCCCTGGGTTATTCAAACATTGTACCATTTACTGACAGCCAGAGTTGTATAGTGGTTAGAGTGTCAGACCAGGATTTAGGAGATCCAGGTTCAAATTCTTACTCTGCCATGGAAGCTTGCTGGGTGACCTAAGTGGGCCAGTTAATACATATTAATCCAAACCTACCTCACGGTGTTGTGTGGATAAAATGGAGAAGATGTGAGGACAATGTATGATTGTAGTCTTTTGCAAGGAATATGTACACCTTCCTTTTACTGCATTGTCTTCCACCTCTGTAACCTGCTTTCTGGATTTGTTTTGCCCCCCCCCCCATTTTTTTCCAATTCGTTAATTTTTTCCTGCTGCACTGTGGATTGCGTGTTTTATGCTATCTGACTGGTGTATGATATTTATCTTATATTTATGCATCTGTCTTGAGAAAGGCAGCCTATAATTTAAGTAAGCAAGTAAGCAAATATTCAAGTAAAGCAGCCCATTGGCCAGTGACTGCAGTTCAACCACCCAGAGCCCCGTTCATCTTTAAATTGCTGATGAATGACGATCCAAAACAAGTCATCATCACATCGCTTCAGTTCTCTGCTGCTCTTGTTACATCAAAGCAAAGCTCTTTCATAATACAGAACAGTTCCTTTGGAAATGAACCGACCTGCATTTTGCAACACAACTAATCTCCTTTTTTGAGTTAGTTGGCGCGTGCAAAACAGCTGAGGAAGAAAAGACCCTGTGCTCAGAGCTCTTTACCGAATGTGTCATTCATCATTTGCAGAACTGGCTTTGAAAAGAGCAAAAAAAAAAAAAACCCACAACCCACTCATCAGCTTAGAAAACACTGAAACTGCTCCTGCTACTCTTGTGATATCTGTCTTTATATATGATAATAATTCCAGATAGGTAGCTGCACAGGCAAAATGAAACAGGAGCTGGATGGTAGCGGTACCTTAAAGAACAGCAACACTTACTCCAGCCTAAGTTTTTGGGAGTCAGCCTTCACTTTGGCTGATCCATTAGGCACACTCATGAATTTTCCATCCATTTGATGAAGTGAGCTCTGGGCTGTGAAAGCTTATACTGGATTAAGGACTGTTGCTGCTGGAGTTGCCATTGGACTCCTGTTTTGTCTTATGTCTCTTCACGCAAAAAATGATGATGAAAATTAAAAGACTTTCACAAAATGGCATAAGCACGGGTAAGGACATTGTGTCTTACTAGAACCATCAAAGGAAATTCCATAGAGGTCCATGAGACTCACACAGCCCCATTCCAGGTAACAGCACAGCCACAATAGCAACAGATGAGCTGTCAGGAGGAAAGTATTATGTTTTCCCTAGATAAAAAACGTTGGTTGCTAAAAGGCAACATTGAGGGAAGGTGTACCAGCAAAGTGTAACAAGGAAGAAGCAACTGTGCACTCATTGCACACATGAGAAACAAATGCACATTCCTTGTGCACAAGGGAAACAAATTCATGACTTTGTTGTGGAAAGGAAAGGGCCATTTTGTCTTCCTGTCTTGGAGTTATAGCAGCCAGTAGGTATTGCAGTGCAGTTTATTGTCTGAATTCAAGACCATCAAATGGCATCTCTCATCCTCCAGGCTCCCCCCCCCCACACACACACACGCATGTTTCTGAGCTTCCTGCCAGCACTTATCCTTGCATCTTTCACCAGCTGACCTGACTTCTGGGTCTGATTAAGGCTCTTCCTCTTTATTCTCCTTTTCCTCCTTAGGCTTCTGTTCTGGCTCCTCAATTTTAAAATTACTGATTTGAAAGATGAAGGGGGGGAAAAACCAATGAGGATTGCTCATAATAACAACAACAAAAAGAGAGAACCACTTTTCTAAATTACTCTCCCCTTTCCACCAAATGACATATTAAAGACCACCTGAAACAAACTAACCACTGAGCACAGGAAGGTTAGCTAAGGGAAGAGTGCTTGCTTTCAAGTTGCCTTTTAGTCCATATTGCCTTCCTCCGTGTAGTCTTCCTCGGTGGTCTCCCATCTCAGTACTGACCGTGGCCCACCCTGCTTAGCTCCCAAATCCTGATGAGCTCAGAGACCAAACTGGGCTTATCAGGATGCTACACTGTTGTAAGCACCTGACCTAACCCGTGGTGCTTTGCTCCAAAGGATTAATAGTGCCCATGACAATGGATGCCCTTAACTCACTTGCCACAAGCTGGTAACCAACTTATGCTGGTCATGGGGAGGGCAGTCTGAACAAGACCAGGACTCAACAGGCAGTATCCTATCACTCCATGTGTGGACGGGGTAATTTCCCCCAGATTCCTCTTCATTGCTGCAGCTCTTCCTGACCCATGCAAAGATCAATCTCAGGGCTGCAGGACCCATGTCCCAGAGACAGGCAGTGTGGTACAGTGGTTAGAACACTGGACTAGGATCTGGTTGGAATCCTCAGTCTGCCAAGTAAGTTTGCTGGGTGACCTTGGGCCGGTCAGACTCTCTCAGTCTAACTTGTCTCAGTGGGTTGTTGTGAGGATAAAGTGGAGGAAAGGAGAACCATGTAAGCTGCTTCAGGTCCCTGCTGGGTAGAAGGGCAGGGTAGAAATGAAGTTTAACAAATAAATAAATACACATGGAGGATGAGCAGTGTGGGTTGGTGGCAGTGGGGTGAGTGAGACGAGGGGCTGAAACAGCTCCTCCTTCCTCTTCCAGAAGCCCAGTTCAGGTCCTCAGAGGGGAATGGGTGGTTCCAGCCCTTGTCCTCCCTCCTGGCTCCAGCCTGCTGACCCTCTCAGCTGTTCCTAACCATGAATCCTGAGACCCCAGGAATAGTCTTTCGGGGGGGGGGGGTCAGAAAGAGCTCCAATAGTACGGGAAAATCTAAGTGCCTCCTGTATGTGGATGGTTGGATACCGCCCAACATATAAATGATATGTGTGAAGCCTCTAGGGTACTATAAGCTTTTAGACCTTTGAGCAGGCCAATTTCTGCCTCTCTCTCTGTTGTTCCCCTCCCCTTTGACTGACTTTCAACTGCTCTTAGTGTTCCAAGAGCATGCTCAGACCTCATGACTGGGGGGGGGGTGTCTTTTGATTTTTCTGAGTGCCCTGAAGTGAGCCCCTTCATGACAGACACTCAGTCTTTAATTTTGCTATTTAAAGGGAACAAACTTAGTTCTCGTGAATCGTGGGTGGTGGGAGGCACTGAAAATAGATGATTGTGAAATCCCCCCAATCTCCCCCTCCCAGATACTAGAAGCTCTTAGGGGGTCGTGCTAACTAATTTTCCTAACTCTTCCTGTTCTTCCTCCTTTAACTGATTCCCTAGTGCTCTCAAATTCCCTGCCTAATGGAGTATACTCAGTCCTCATCAGGGTACTATGGAGTTTTTAATTAATTCTTTTGGTTAATTTACAAAGCTGTATTCTCCTCCATATGCCCCGGCAGCCCCTGAAATACACAGAAGCCTCTCTCCTGTCTGGGGGTGGCCTGGTTTTGCTGCTTTTTTCAATAAGAACCTCTCTTTTTACTACTAGATATAGCAAATAATAATATTCTAGACAGGAAAATGCAAAGATCTAGTCTGGTTCAAAAGGTTTACTGGAGTTGGCACTTGCCACCTGCTCATTTTAAAATGGAAAAGAACAATGAAGAGAGAGAATAGAAGAAAATAATGGTTTGTTTTTTTGCTCACCTGTAGTCTACCTGCCCTGTCCTGCCACTGTCGAGCTTGCGTATCAGTTCACCAACCTGTATTCGGTCCAGAGGGATCTTGGTTTGCTTGGGAAACAAGAAGAACATTTTGTTACTTTCCATTCAGAAATGGTGATTAAGTATTTCCCCCACTATCTGGAGGCTACAGGGTCAGAGTGCCTGCCTGTCTCCTCTTCCTTACCCCATGTCTGTGAAAGACCCTTTGCAGGCTGACCCACCTGACACAACTCTTCCTTTAGCATGGCTTATACACACCAAAAGTGTCCTGTGATGCAAGGCAGAGACCCTGCCCCTATTCGCCTTCCTCACTGCTTCCTAGGCTGCCCCAATTGCTTCCTATCAATGTCCATGATTCGCCTGGAATGTTAGGGGCTGCAAGTCATCAGCCCTCATTTCAGCACCCAGCTGTGCCACTGCCAATCCCATTGCTAGACTTTCTCCAACAATCTTCTAGCACCTCCTTGTTTATTTAAACTTAGATCCTGCCTATTCCCACCTGACCAAAGTGATTACCAGTCATAAAATCACAACCTTTACCAGGGAGACATGTGGGGGGTTATCCCTGTAGATTCTCTTGGACCTCTCAGGCCTGGTTCACCTATTACAAAGTCCATGTGGTTGACACATGGCTGCCATGAAGACTTTGGATCAGGCTGCACCTGGAAGTCCCCCATGTGTGGGTTCAATTTGGATTGGGGCCATGGTGCACAGCGTAATTTGGGGAAATGGCTGAACCCGGTGGCACTTGTGCTGTGGGGTTCCATTTTCTTTCCCACTCATTTTAACATCAGCATAAGGCTGTCTTCTGGACATCTGAAATGAGATATTATTAGTATGTTGATAACACACTGCTGTATTTTTCTTTGCAACAGAGGTGAGACAGTGGATGTTCTGAACGAGTGTCTGGAGATGGTAATGGATTGGATGAGGGCCAATAAACTGAAGGTCTACACAAGTGAAATTAAGCTGCTGTTGCTCAATAATTGGGCTAATCGTGGAGCAGGGATCTGGCCTCTTCTGGAGTGGGTTGTGTTCCATAAAGAAATAGGTTTGGAGCTTGTGGGTGTTTTCAGATCCATTTCTGCAGATGGAATGTCAAATATCATTGGTAGCACGTAACAGCTGTAACCAGTTTTGGTTGGTGCACTAACTGTAGCCTTTCCAGAGAATCAATATTGGACCATGCTCTGCTAGCAGTGATCCATGCTCAGATCATATCCAGGTTAGATTCCTGTAGGGTTGCCAACCCTTAGCTGGCAAACTTCAGGAGACTGCTGGATGTGGGACTTACCTAACAGCCTCCTGTAACACCATGACGTTACTTCTGGCTGTGTAAGTGGAAGTAAGGTCACTGTGCCATGGGATGCTCAGGGATTCATCTGAAACTTTATGGTAAAAACCACAGAGTTTTGGATGGATCCTAGAGCATCCCACAATGTGGTGAGTGAAATCACTTCCAGTTAAACAAGTGGACATGATATTGCAGTGTTGAGGGATTCCATTTTATACACACCTTTTCCCCCTGCCACCCGACTGAGTGCCAACAAGGAACAGGAAAGTGGCAAACGGCAACCATTAGGACTTTTTTTCTGGGGAAACGTGCTGGAACAGAGCTTCAACAAAATTCTTTTTAAAATGTTTTTAAAGTTCATGAGCTTTTAGCATACAGATTGAAAACTTCATTTTCCTCTTGAGAGTTCCGGCACCTCTTTAAAAAAAAAAAAAAGCCCTGGCCAAACATAGATTACTGCTATCTGCTATACGAGTGGTCCCCAACCTTCTTGAGCCTGCAAGCACCTTTAGAATTCTGACACAGCACGGTGGGTGCAGTCACAAAATGGCTGCCAAAAATGGCTGCTGCAGGAGGCAGAGCCAGACACAAAATGGCTGCTACAGCTTACCTTCAGCACACAGTGCTGTGGTGGCAGCACCTGCCAAAGTAACATTTTTTAAAAAAATCTATAGTCAATCAAATCTCCAGTGGCCAGTCATAAGCCTTGCTGGGCAAAAGCCTCACCTGTCCTCACTTACTTTGTAAAACACTTGGCAGGCGCCAAGAAAGGTGTCAGTGGGCACCATGGCATCCATGGGCACCACGCTAGGGACCCCTGTGCTCTACATATGGCTGCCTTTAAAGACTATTCAGAAACGTCAACTGGTTCAAACTGTAGTGATAAGATGTGTGATAGGGACTAGCTACCGAGGATATATCTCACCAGTGTTGAAAGAATGCCAAGGATTTATGGAACCTGTGTCCTGAGACTCCTGACATGTGAATTTGATGTAGTGTATTTTGGCTCTAACTGTCATGGTTTCCAACCAAATAACCCATTAATTCTGGGACAATGATGGGATTTCTAACTGTAGCACACAACTGAAGTGCTGGTTCTTTCCTTTTAAGCTCTTAATACTTTGAGACCAGGGGTTCTAAGGGACTCCATCCTCTACTAAGGTTGCCAGCTTCAAGTTGGGAAATACCTGGAGATTTTGGGGGTGGAGCCTGAGGAGGGTGGGGTTTGGGGCATAATGCCATAGAGTCCACCTTCCAAAGTGGCCATTTTCTCCAGGTGAACTTATAGCTGTCACCTGGAGATAAGTTGTAATAGCAGGAGATCCCCAGTCATCACCTGGAGGATGGCAACCTGATATATTCTCATATGAGCCTGCCCACAGCAAAGATCTTTCCTCTGGCAAAAATGCTGTGAGAGGGAAGCCCCAACCTTCTACCTCCACTGAACTTTGTTGGTAGCTAAATGCAGAAGCTGAGAGCTTTTCAGAGATGAGAAACCTGTGTCCTGAGAATCCTGACATGTGAATTTGATATAGTGTATTTTGGCTCTGTCATGGTTTCCAACCAAATAACCCGGTAATTCTGGGACAATGATGGGATTTCTAACCCACAGTCCTCAGCACCCTCCTGAATATGCATTGCTGTTTCAGGAAGCCATGACTGTTGAACTGTTCAAGCCACTTTTAAGCGCTCTGAGACATACCTGCATCATAGCTTTCCGAAATTCTGACACAGTAATCTTCATGGTGCCTTCTTTGTCCATCTTCCTGAAGAAATCCCAGAGTCTCAGCTTGTTTTTATCCAAGTAGTTCTAGGGATTAAAAAACAATGAAATGCAAACTGGTCAATAATCTCACTTTAGTAACCAATCCCAACTCCCCACACCTTCCCCAGGATAACATTATCTATCTATCTCAGTCTTCCAGCTTTGTCCACCACTAAGGTAAGGAAGTATTCATTGCTGTTCTGATACAAAGACTGTAATTTCTGTTCCTCAAATCCCATATGCGCTCCCTGGAGAAAAACCTTTTATCTATTTAATTCATTTTGGAAATAAAACAGATTTTTTTCCCCTCTCCCATGATTTATGGGACTGTGTTACAGGGTGAAATTATGTACACATGGGGGGCATGCTGTAAGTGGGGCCAAAGGAAAGATGCTGGGGTTCTGTCTCCTCATGCACCAGGTGAATCCTTGCTCTGATGGTCCTTCTTTAGCTGCAAATATATTGCTCAGGATAAAAGGCAGGATCTTTTTGGTGGCAGCACCCTCTGTAGAACTCCCTCTCTAGAGACGTCCGCTAGGCCAGTTCTTTTTTTTTCTCTTTTACAAGAATTTTAAAACCTGTTCTTTTCCAGCAGGCATGTGGGAGTATGTCCTGGGGTTTTTTTTAAAGCTAAACTCTCAATGAAGATATGTGAGGGAAAATATGATTATTATTGTTTTCTTTTTAGGCTGTTCTTATTTTGAGAATTTACTGCATATTTTAATTTTCATGTGTTATATGTTTATAAATGGATTTGCTAGCCACCTTGAGGACCAATGGGGTAGAAAGGCCATTATAGAAGCGTTAATTAATTGATTATAGGATGGCATTGTGTGTAGAATAGCCAGGAGATCCTGAGTCGGCCCTGGCTGGGAGGGCAGGGTATAGATTTGAAGAAATAAAACAAACAAATAAATAAATCCTAGGATTGTGTGGCAGCCACAAGTTCTAGCTTTTAGCGTTGTGCATGGTGAGCTAGACTTGTTTTTAGGGGCCGACAGAGCTCTGAAAGAACTGTGACTAGCCCAAGGTCACCCAACTGGCTTCATGTGAGTGGGGAATCAAACCTGGTTCTCCAGATTAGAGTCCACCACTCTAAACCACTACACGAAACTGACTCTTCATAGAAGCATAGAAAGGCATCATACAAATAAATAAATAAATAAATGACTGTAATGGTGGGCAGTTTTGTTGATTCTGGTTGTTTAATAATTGATGGGTATTGTCGTTCTAGTGTTTGTTATGTTCCAACCTACTCTCCAGGCTCTATAGTTTAGGTATGAAGATCACTGAATGAATGACTGGGGGGGGGAAGCATCTCTTGTGACCTGATGCACTATTTAAGGAAACAATGGCCCAAGGAACCTTTTTAAGTGCTCTGGAGAGACAGAGTCCTTCACTAAAACCTGATGACCCTTCCCAATAACCTGGAGAACATTTACCTCACAATGGAGAAAGATATTTGTGGGGTAGAAAAATATCCCAAGATAAAAAATGTTTGAAACTATTAAAGTTAGATATTTTTAGATGTCTACCATTAAAATTCATGAAAGTTTATGTTAGTTGTCGAACATCTTGGGTTTCAAATACAGTTTTTGTTGTCTCTTTTCTTTTTAAGTTATAGCTTTGTAAAGGAACCACACAGGTAAAAGTTACTCAATATGCAATAGGGAAAAGGTGAATCAATGCAAAATTGTGCCTTATGTCTGAGTGTGTTTCAAAGCTCTGGATGTTCTAGGGCTGTCCAGAAATATGCCTTGGCATATGAACATACCCAAGAATACAATATGTGTGTAAGTATTTTTGCGGGGCAGTGGGATGGTTAAAGCCACAGGTGCAAAGTCTTGCTACTTGTATTCTGAGTGCTTGTGTTTCAAAATTCAGCAGTAGCTGGGTGCAGAATGTGGCCTTTGAGATTTGATACTTTGGCTTGAAAAAGAGAGCCGTGAAAATGTTTGAGCATTACTTGGTCAAATCTAGAAGCCAGAGTAAGATTTGAGCAGGATTTCCATCACCATTTCATGAGCCTGTGCCCTGCCAATTAACAAATGTCTTCGGTTTATATAGCCTGAAGAATTTCTAGGTGCAAAACTTTGATTTTTGTTTTTTAGCACAAAGTTTTAATCATTTTAAGCACCAGAAAAGGTGGCTGCAGAAAATATAATTCAGTTACTGGCTTTAGCAGTTTGCACTAAAAATAAAATAATACTAATAAAAACTTTCTTTGACACAACAGCACCATCTGGTGCGGTTTCTGGAGATAGCATGCTTTCAAAATTAATCCAGAATCCAGAAGAAAACTCCTTGACTGTAGTAGCCAAAAGACAAAAGCCATTGTGGTAATGCATGGGTTAATTGTTTTATTATGGCATGATCAAAGCAAAATAGATGGAGGTATAATATATACAGACATGGGTTGTAAGATAAATTAACAATGTGGAATCCAATGAAAACAGCACACACCAAATAGCCGAGAACTGTTGATACACACAGTGCATAGCCAAATGGGAAAGAATTTACTGCTTGAAAAATATATACATAAATTAGCACAGTGTGTTTATAATATATGTATCAAAACCATAGAGCCTGGAGGGGGGGGGGGCTAGAGCATCGTGCCAACATGCACTTCATTGAGTGCAGACAAAGTATGATTTGTAGTTTTTTGCTGAAGCAGAACAGCAAACCAGTTCTGCCTAGAACTGCAAATTAGAACTTGCTGGTTTGGCTGAAATTAGGGTTGCTAGTTCCGGGTTGGAAAACCCAGAGATCTTAGGGCTGGAGTCTGGGGAGGATGGGTTTTAGGGATGGAACTCAGTGGGTGTAATGTCACGGAATCCACCCTCCAAAGCAGCGGTTTTCTCCAGAGGAATTGATCTCATTAACCTGGAGATCCACTGTAATTCTGGGAGATCTCCAGGCCCTACCTGGAGGTTGTCAACCCTTGCTAAAATCACAAACTGTGGTTTGCTGACAACCAGGAAGGAAAAGAGAGAGAAGGTACCCCACTCCCTTGGACTCCTGCCAGTTGCTGGCTGGCAGCTCCATGTATTCATTCTCATATGTCTCAAGAGATAGAAAATTATCTGTTCTTTCTCAGATCAAATTAATACTCCATTTCATGGCAATGGGCTTGTAGCCTGGCTTGGTCCTCCCTGGACCCCAGTAAAGTATACTCACTTTCCCCCGCCCCATGACCGCACCCTGAAAATGTCAACTGATCTTTCCCAAACCCTGACTCAGCAGTAATGTTCTTAGAGAAACAAGCTCCACCCTCTGTGCACGTGCAGGAAGACGTCTGGGCATTGGAAGAACCAAGGCATCCTCACCTGTATCAACTTCATAGGATCTGGACGATGCTCTTGCTTCTTGGTTATGTGGCCCCCAACCCCTCCATAGATGACATCTAGTTCAGGGTGTACCTCACAAATGACATCCACTAGTCGTACGAAACCTTCATTCACCAGCACATTCTAAAGCAGAGCAGAGAGCAGATGATGCTAGATCCCATGGAGGCACCCCCCCCCAAAATTCTGACCTTTTTACATATACAACCTGTGATCACTTCAGTGTGAGCCTGTGTGGTAGAGCAGTTAGCATGTTGGACTAGGATTTGGGAGACCCCGATCTCTCCCCACTGTGCCATTAAAGATCACAGGGTGACTGTAAAAACTGACCCACCTTGGTACAAGAGATTTGTTCCCCTGTCTCTGAACTGAGACACTGAAACAAATCTCTTTGTGATAATGTAGCCAAGTTTACCCTGGATTTGTCCTGGTAACTCACAGCAACGCACCTTTAAGGTGAAATGGGTTTTTTATTAAGGAAATTAAAGAAAAAAACATTTTGAAAGCAATACAGTTCCAGTTCCAAATATACAGGAAACAAGAAAACTAATTCTCTAGATACAGGTCTTTGCAGCATAGATGTTTCTTATAGGTTTACTAAGTCCAGTATATAGCAGCATACCTCCATATAGGTGTAACATGAGGCATATTAGGTAACACGTACAGGAACATGGCGATGAAATAAGGTAAAGGGACTAGGATGAGGCCTAACAGCATAGACTACACTTTATAAAAACATGGGCCATAGATCTCCTGACTCTTGTCCATCGATCACTGGACTGTCTCCAAGGGAGATTCTGGATGAGCTCTGTCCCCCCCCCTCCCATCCACATCCAGCTGAACTGAGTGAACTAATTAGCAAGGCTTGATGCCTGAGAGATTACCTTGGCTGGTAACTGTTTACTGGTGTGTGTGTGTGTGGCTGATACTGGTTCTTAAGGAACCAGACAAGGGGAAAAAATGTTATGCGGAACTTTCCTCTGAACAGGGCTTCTCTCTTGACAGTGACCTTAGGACAGTCCCACACTTTCAGCTTAACCTGGTGTTGTCAACTGCAGGTTGGGAAATACCTGGAGTTTTGGGGGATGAAGCCTGAGGGGGGTGGGGCTTGGGGAGGGGAGGGACTTCAATGGGGTATAATGCCATAGACTCCACCTTCCAAAGTGGCAATTTTCTCCAGATGAACTGATCTCCATTGCCTGGAGATCAGTTCCCAGAAGACCTCCACCCACCACCTGGAGGTTGTACTTTTCGATCCTAGCTCTTTAAGTTTAAATCTTTGTTAAAGTTCAACAAACCCTTATATATTCTTAAAGAGCTAGGATCAAAAAGTACTTGATACAAAGGGAAAACTCAAGTAAAGTCCACAAATCCTTTGTATAAAGACAAACTTCAGGAGAGCAAAGGTTCTACATCTTGTATGAGCAGCAGCTGCTGGCTTCACGGCTGCGTTCACATTTTGCTTCTTCAGATAGCTGGTACTCTTTAGCTGTGAAACTGAAAATATACTTTTATGTCACATCCACTAAATTACAACATATTTACTACATCCCCAGTTGTTAGCACATACATACTCACTGAAATAAAGTACCAACAATTTTTGATCCTAGTTCTTTAAGAATATATAAGGGTTTGTTGAACTTTAACAAAGATTTAAAGCTGTTTGAATTGTTTTGCACAATATAATCTTTTTGCTTTTGTTCGTAATTCATTCACGGAGTGTCTTTATATTGATACAATCTCCTCCCTTGAGCTCTCATTTTGATATACAACCTCCTGGGGGTTGGCAGCCTTACATTAACCCATCTCACAGGATTGTTGAGAAGGTAAAGCAGGAGCCATATATGCCACTCTGAATTATTTGGAGGAAACACAAGATATATAAAATTGACTAATCACGGCTTCCTATATGCTTAGAATTTTCTTTGAGCAAGAAACGTGAACTGAAACTCTGTATTATTCTATATAAAAACTCTTCCATCCCTCATATCATCTTACTGAGATGTTGATTTCTTCCATCCTGGTTTTTGAATTCCTTCTGATGCATGTGAGGAGTGCAATGGCACCTTCTACTGTCATGGGATTATGCGACATCTGTGAGATAAAAGAAAAAAAATTAGCTGAATATTCTCCCCACATCACCATAACATACTGCTGAAGTCAAGTTCATGTCCTCTGCAATAGCTCCTCCTCCAATGATTTAATAAAATTTATACTGGGAAAGCAGGAGGAGGAGGAGGAGGAGGAGGACATTGGATTAATACCACACCCTTCACTCAGAGTCTCAGAGCAGTTTACAAACTCCTTCCCCTCCCCCTCCCCACAACAGACACCCTGTGAGGTAGGTGTGACTAAGCGAGCTCTGACAGAAACTGCTCTTTCAAGAACAGCTCTGACAGAACTATGGCTTGCCCAAGGTCACCCAGCAGACTTCATGTGGAGAAGGAGTGGGGAATCAAACTTGGTTCTCCCACATTACAGTCTGCGCACTTAACCACTACACCAAACTGGCTCCTGTACCACATCAGATTAGCCAAAGTTCAAGATAAAGCTCAGGACCAGCTGTATGTGAGCTGGCAGTGCTCATACTACATGGTTCCTTAGTGTTCATGCATAGGCACTTATATGCATGTGCTAGAGAGACAAGGGGCTGGATCCAACTGACTTCTCCACTGGTGAAAAAGAGAACAACGAATCCTCTTTGATCAAAGTGCAGCCTCTTTTGGAATACTGTGTGCAGCTCTGGTCACTCAAAAAAGAACATTGCAGAGCTGGAAAAAATACAGAAGAGGGCAACCAAGATGATTCAGAGGTTGGAGCACCTTCCCCTTGAGGAAAGGCTGAAGAGGTACTTTCAGTTTAGAAAAGAGATGACTAAGAGGGAACATGATTGACTGAGGTTCACAAAATTATGTATAGGGTGGAGAGAGTTGAAAAAAGAGAACTTTCTCTCCTGTTCTCAAAATACTAGAACTCAAGGGCATCCAATGAAGCTGATGAGCAAGCAATAGAATCAGGATGGACAAAAGTAAATTCTTCTTTACACAGTGAGTGATTAAAATGTGGAGTTTGCTGCCAGAAGATGTAGTGATGGCCACAGGCATAGACATTTTTAAAAATGGATTAGACAGATTCACAGAAGATGGATCTATCAGTGGCTACTAGCCACTCCACATTCAGAGGCACTCAGCCTCTGATACTAGTGCCAGGAGGCAACATCAGGTAAGGCCTTGGTCTCTATGCCCTGTTGTTGGACCTCATGGGGAACTGGTTGGCCACTGTGTGTGAGACAGGATGCTGGACTAAATGGATCACTGATTCACTGGTCTGATCAAGGAGGGCTCTTCTTGTGTTCTTATGACCAGGCAACAGATGAGCAGAGGTGGGTTGACACTGTCTTCCTCTGCATAGCAACCCTTGACTTCTTTGGTGGTCTCCCGGCCAAGTACTAATCGTGGCCAACCCTGCTTAGTTTCTAAATTCTAACAAGCTCAAACTAATCTGGGCTATTCAGGTTGCTCCAGTCCCATTACCCCTTCACCTTTCTTTGAGTCAGTTCCCAGTACCTAAGAATCCTGCAGTTTCCTCACGGTATAATCCAAGGCATAAATTCTAATCTTGATAGGTTCTGTAAGTAACCATGGAAACATATCATGAACCTGAGAGCCGTAGCTAGCCTTCTAGTGGCATTTGAAGCAATATTCATATTTCTTAACATGAAGATATAAAACTGTAGCCAGCTAACACGTTGCATTTTTAATGTTTGGATGGTCTTTGTGGTTTTATGGTCAGGCAGTTTTATTGTTACACCTCTTTTCAGTGGATCATAAATTTGTATTTTTAAAAAATAAATAAATAATGTGTGAGTTTTATTTTCCTTTATGCATTTTTGACTTTTTGTTAGAGTTTGTAAACCACTTCAGGCACTTTTTTGGGGGGAAAGTGTTGAAATTCTGTAAGTATATAAACAAACAATGCCACTCACAGTCTGTCTTTTGCCAGTCTGCAGGCTTTCATTGGCTTGAGCTCAGGAAACACCAGCCTACCTTCAGGACTCGAAGGTTTCCATTGACTTCTAAACCCTTGCTCAGCTTTATCGTCCCTTCATTGTTGATGTGGTTGCTGCTGATGTCTAGCTCAACCAGCACACTGTTGACTTTGAGAGCTTCTCCAAGGGCCAAAGCACCTTCATTTCCAAAACCGTTCCATGATACATCAAGTACTTTCAGTGTTCCGTTAGTCTGGAGAATACAAAGAGAAATTGACACTGCTACAGAGCAGCCTACCAATGCAGCAAACCTTTTCTCCTATGGACATCCCTCTCACAAAGATCCAGGTCCAGGTGCAGTGATGGTGTAACCCCAATTCACTACAAGAGGGCTCTAAGGATGCCTTGAAAATCAGGCTCACCAACTGAGCTGGAAAATCCTGCATGTTCTAAGCCCCTTTCAGACATTTTATCCATACAGACCAGGAGCCTCCCAACTGCACCTAAATTCTCCTGATATGTCACCACATTGTCTGATCACAACAGGAACGTACTTCCACATATGGTGGAAATGCGAAAAAATACAAAAATTCTGGAAAACTGTTAAACAGATGTTAAAAGAAATCATAGGGAAAGATTTAGCGCTGATACCAGAGCTCTTTCTATTGAATGTTACACCTGACGGGCTAAAATTTAATGAGAAATGTATTGTGGTATATATTATTACAATGTCCAGGATTTCTATTGCTAAAAATTGGAAATCTGATAAACTACCGAGTAAGGATGATCTGACCAACATCCTCTATGAAGTAATCGAGATGGACAAGCTCAATATGTTTTTAGCGGGCAAAACAGAAGAACACTTTAACTTGAAATGGCAAAAAGCCATAAAATGGTACGAAGAAAGAGGTTGACTTAACCCCCAAATGTATGAAATTGTAACGTGATTATATGTAAAGTTGGAAAACTTAAAATAATTAAAAAAAAAAAAAGTGGACCTTTATTGTTTCCTGGGCATGGATTGTCTTTATTTATTTCTCTGTTACACATACAACACTCAGCCTAGCTCCTTGTTTTGCTGCTGTTCCCTACCACAGGCCTGCTTCTACGGTCCTGTTCTGCCTCTCGTCACTCAGACTTCTCTTGATCCCAGGGCTTTCTGTCTGTCTCAGCATGGGAAGATGCTTACCCTGAGACCAGCGCTGAGGGCTACTGCCCCCTTCATCCGCAGATGATTCCAGCTCAGCTTCAGAACCTCCAGTGATTCGTTGTTGGCTGAAGAAAAGGAGCAGAGGAACTTGCTGAGGAAGCAAAATTGGATGGGGGAAAGGAATGTCTTTTCGAGGGCATGCAAGAGGGTTGTCAGTGTTATGATCTGAGAATCATGTGTTATAATATATGGTTTTAAAAGAAAATGCTAGTGAATACATACACCTGAGTTCTTCAGCCATTGCTGATGGGGAGGTATTTTCACTTTAGTGCATGTGCCTCCACACTCCTTGTACCTGTGGACACTTTTACAAATGTGAGATTGCAAAATGGGCATGACCTAGCGCAACCTTCAGGAGACTAGAGAAGGGACATAAGGGGTGACCACTGGCAATGGCATGATGCCACTGCAAGGAATACCTGGAACTGTAGTCCCAGTGATTCCTAGAGAGGACTGATGTCACTGTTGTGTAGTGGGTTAACCGCGTGGAAGAATTGCTAAGGCACGCATAAATGGTTTTAAAAGAAAATGCTAGTGAATACATACTCCTGAGTTCTTCAGCCATTGCTGATGGAGAAGTATTTTCACTCCTTGTACCTGTGGACACTTTTACAATTGTGAGATTGCAAAGTGGGTATGACCTAGCGCAACCTTCAAGAGACTAGAGAAGGGACATAGGGGGTGACCACTGGCAATGGCATGATGCCGCTGCAAGGAATACCTGGAACTGTAGTCCCAGTGATTCTCCGCGGACACAACAGTCACTTCTAGGTTTCCTCCCAAAGTGATGTCACGCTGTTGGTGTGACAGCCTTTTAAAACACGTTTCTCCTGCTACCATGTGGAATGGCGGTGAGAAACAAGCACTGTGAACACATGAAGCTGCCTTCTACTGAATCAGACCCTTGGTCCATCAAAGTCAGTATCGTCTACTCAGACTGGCAGCAGCTCTCCAGGGTCTCAGGCAGAGGGTTTCACAACACCTACTTCCAGATTTTTTAACTGGAGATGCCAGGGATTGAACCCAAGACCTATGCCATGCAGATACTCTGCCACTAAGCCACACACCTCCTCTCACTGGAAACACGCAAGCCCAGCAGCATCACGAAATGGCTGCTATGGGGACTGGGATAAGGCCTGGAGTTCTCTCAGAATAAAGCCCCCCCCCCTTAAGCAACCATCCACTGAACTGCCAATGGTTGGAGTCACATGAAGAATATATTTATTATTTGCTTTATTTATAGCCTGATTTTCTCACCGAGACTTAAGCACAGATCACACAATATAATCATTGAAAAAGGGTTTAATGTGTGGCAGGGTTCGTATGGGTGTAAGTGGTCCTTCGCATATCCAGAATTTAAAACGGACTTGGAAGCAAACTGGCAGGCAATAATATTTACATGAGTGCTGCTGGCCCCCAAGTTATCCATCTGGTCACCACGTTCTGAACCAGTTGTAGTTTCCAAATATTCTTTCAAGGCAGCCAAACGAACAGAACATCACAATAGTCTAATCCAGATTAAGTAAAGTATGCTTTACTTTGGTCAGGTTGCTATTTTTTGAGAAAAAGGTGCTTCTGATTAATTAACCTAGGATGGTAAAACATACTTCTGGCCACCGCCATCACCTGAGCATCCTGGTAAAGGGACAGATTCAGAAGCATGCCCCAAAGGGTGAGACTAACTGGGAGTGCAATCCCATCTAACACAGTCTAGACCAGACATTTCCTCATTTGCAGTGATGGCTGATGCCTCAGTAGAAGGAATGAACAAGGTTACCCAGCATCTGTCCCAGAAGCTCTCCTCCCTTCTCAGCAAACTCATTGTGGCTGAGGTCCAGCTCAATCACTCTGTAGTTGCCCTGTGGAGAGAAGCGGTGACATTCTCTGAACTCATTTGCTGTACTCAGACCAAGATCCATTCAGTAACAAGGCAGAATCCAGTGGCCATTGCTGCCTGTGCAGACAACTGTCTTTGAGATGAACACATCAACCAGCTCATCTGAGATACGGATAAGAACATCTCCAGAATGGTGTCGTATACGCATGCAACCACACTGGTTGCCCATGTTGGCATGGCATCAGGTATGTTAGATATGTAATTATAACACCACTTTTCTATAAAAATTATATATACAAATGTCTGCCAGGACAGGTCGATGCATCCCAGGTTCCCTGTTGCCACCCAGTCTGTGTCACATAAGTGCAAGAATGTACAGCTCCAAATACTGTGAAGGGAGAGGTGCCACCCTCAAGTTTCTGTCTCATGCAACTTTTGTCACTGCCACAGTTGTTTCTGCTGGCAAAAATACACACACACACATATATATATACACACACACACACATATATATATACACACACACACACATATATATATACACACACACACACATATATATATACACACACACACACATATATATATACACACACACACACATATATATATACACACACACACACATATATATATATACACACACACACATATATACACACACACACACACATATATATACACACACACACACACACACACACACACATATATATATATACAGAATAGATCCTGTGCAAGCTAGAGACACCAGACTTGCAGGGGATCTCAGGCCCTGCAAAGAAGGTGCCCCTAGGAAAGTGCGTTCTGAGGAAATGATTCGTGAACTGGGCACACCACAAACCACATTCTAAACCACATTTGTGTTGCCTATATAATGTATTTTGACCCTTAAAGGCAGCACAGCTCTTAAACCCCACTTTGCTGTTAGCACTGTGCATTACCAGTCTTTGTGAGTACATGTACTTGAGAGGAGTCCTGGCACAGCAACCTACACTTTCCTCCTCCTTTCTCTTGTGAGAAGAAAAGTGGATCAGATGTGAGAAAAGTGGGAAGAAAAAGGTTCAGATCAATCAATCAATCAAGAAAAAGCCCTGGAGTGGAGAACCAGTAGGGCTGGTGCTGCTAAACCCTTCCCTCCCTTATTGTTTGTCCCTTCAGAAGTGACCTCCTCCACATGCCTTTCCTGCCAATAATTTCCCCCATACTTTGGGCAGAGGGACTTTGAACAGATGAACGGCAGGAAAGGCAAGAGTTAAGTAGGCTGTGTCCCACCACAGGACCCACACTCCTGATTTGATCTCCCTGCAGCCACCCCATTGTTAAAAAGGAGGGAGAATAGCAGAACTACTCATCACTGCCTGGACACCACAATGTTTTTTATCAGTACTTAGAAGACAAGGCTGTTAGCCAGAATAGCTTTATGGGCTTAGAGAAGTGCCATGCCATCCAGGGGCCAGAGTCACGGTTTGGGATAAAGCTGATGAGTATGATCGCTTGTAGAGTTTGTGTGACTCTCATCACCAGATTTATAGATCTCTGCCCCAACACATCCTAACTGAGCTATTAGTGTAGTGCCAAGATTCTCAGACTTGTTGATCCTGTTGGCACTTTGAGAAGTTTGAGAGAGGATAGTGGGCAATAAGGTTGCCAATCTCCAGCTGGGGCCTGGAGATCTCTCAGAATTACAAGTGATTTTCAGATGACAGAGATCAGTTCCCCTGGAGAAAATGGCTGCTTCAGAGGGTGGCCTCTATGTCATTATACCCCAATAAGGTCTCTCCCTGCCCCAAACCCTGCCCCCCCAAGTTCTACCCCAGATCTCTAGGAATTCCCACCCAGGAGTTGGCAACCCTAGCTGGGCACCACCACAAAGTAGCCGCCATGGGAAATGAGACCAGTCACAAAATTGCTGCCAGTTGGGGCAATTATAAAATGTAGGGAGGTTCTAAACCAAGCATCCTATTATGATGGGGATGGTTATGACTCTGGAGGTCTTCAGGAGCACCTCCTGATCAAATGAAGTGGAGGACAGCTAGGACTGGCTACCTGTTTGGGGAAAAGGCAAATGGGAACCATAAAATACACAGGTAGGTATCATGGTGCCCATAGGCACCACATTGGTGGATCAGTGGTCTATTGAACTCTGAGCCTTATTGAACACTGTCAGGAGGATGTTGAATGCGGCATAAACTCTAGGGTGTGGGATTTAACTTGTTTAAATGAGGCCTGGGAAAAGTGTAACCTGTTTTACTGAGAGCTATGTTTTTTAAGGTAAATATTATTTGTATAGATGTAGTATTTTGCCCTGACCTGGATGGCCTAGGCCAGCTCAATCTTCTCAGATCTCAGAAAACAAGCAGGGTCAGCTCTGGTTAGTACTTGGATGGGAGATCACCAAGGAAGTCCAGGGTCACTATAGTAGGGTCGCCAGGTGCCTACCTTGTGCCGGTAGGGGGATTTGGGGGGCATTCCAGGGATGGGTGGGGACATCGGTGATGCGATGATGTCACTTTCGAAATCGCCAATATCACACAGAAACATCTGCTTGGAGTTGGGGTTTCCCCTGCCAGCCAGTTGCCTGGTGGCAGGCAGGAATCTGCAAAAGCGGGGGATATTATTATTATTATTATTATTATTATTATTATTATTATTATTATTATTATTATTATTATTATTATTATTATTATTATTATTATTATTATTATTATTATTATTATTATTAAGTGTTATGATAGGCAGGGAATAAATATTTTTAAAAATAGAGAAATAGAGAAATACATTTTACATGACTTATGGTCTTATGCATATATAGTTCCTGACTTTTCAGTTTTTCCTGTAGACAACCTACTCACCATTAATGATTCGGAAAAGTACGGTGCTGCTTCTTCCCTAAAGTTGTTCCCTGAAGATGAAAAAGAGGATATTAACAAGACTGGGGGACTGTTTCAGACAAGATTATTTCACTTCTGTGTAAGTAAGCCATAAGTACAAGAACATTTAAAATACAGGCATCTATTTCACCATACATTTGTACAATTAAATGATTGGAGAGAGAGTTCTTTGTTACTCATTATACTACACGATGGCTTGTATGCAAAAAATATCCATGTAGGAATATTTTGTAAAGCTGCCTTTAGATACTGGCAAAACTGGGAAGTCAAACGTAGCTGTAATCATACACTAAAACCAGCACAGAGCTGGAATGGGGGAATGTTACATGGTTCTTCATTTACTTTGCTTTAATGTTATGTTGTCCTAATAAAAAGTCATTGGTAGCCCACAACATTATTTCAGAATGGCTGCTTTTCATAGTTAATGTCTGCAGCTCACATCCCTAACACATTCAACGAATGGACACATGAAGCTGCTTTCTACTGAGTCCATTGGCCTATCAAGCTCTCTATTTCCTAGCATGACTGGCAACAGCTCAACAAGGCTGCAAGCAAAGGTGTTTCCCACACCTGTTCTCTGAGCTCCTTTAACTTACTGGAGCTGTGGAAACCCACCATCCCAAACACACA